GTTCAGTTAGTGTTTTGTGTTTTGGTCAGTGACTGTAGTCACATGAGTCATAGGCAGTGAAGTAAGTCACAGAGATCCAATTGACTTTGGGTTGCGTAACACCTAGGTTGTGAGGAGTCGGCACGACGGCATTTGTGGTACTGGCATTATGGGGGGGGGTAGTTCATGGCTTAATTCTGTGGGACAAGGTTCCCCAGTTAAACGTGCAGGAGTTTTTCCCTGTTTACCCAAATGTGAGGGGTTTCCCAGTCTAATTTAACATCTACAGCTGAATCTCAGCCTCCCATGTAGGCTGATAGAGATTTGAGGAGGACTTATCACAGATGTTAGACAAAGTGTGTTCAAAGTAAAAGGAGAAATTGAGTGAGAAGTTTGGGATTCCAGCAGAACCAGGATGGGGTCAGGAACAATGCTTTATGGTTCTAAGCAACGATGTAAAGAAAAGAGTCCTTGAGGTGTGTGTTCAGGTGTTTGGACAGTCGCACTGTTCTCTAAGAACAGAGCATCAACAGCACATGGAACTACCCCAACACTCTATCAGTGTCCTTCAAGCAAAAGTTGAGTCACTTCAAAGAGAACGAAATGAATTGCTGAACTACGTTAATACAAAGGAAAAGCAAGTGAACGCCTCCCATGAGAAGGAGGGTCTCCTTCCAGTGACAGAGTCTCTGTGCAGGCAGTTCTTATCAGGCTGGTCTTGATCTGTTACAGAAACAGCTACAGGGGTAGTCAAAGGAGAAAGGTCGAAGCATGACCCTCTGAGCCTGGCGGAAGAGTCCAAACCTGGCATCCAGAACGATCCAGAAAGTCAGTTCACTCAGCTGCTCATTGCTGAAACAGTTTCACTGCATGGGGGCTGTTCTAATTGTGCAGCCACTGAGGATGTGATGAGCAGTGAAGTTGGTGTTGCTCAAAGAGCTGTTGGTGAGACTTCATAAGATAAAGTGTCACAGCTGCTCAGTACTGCTGTGTTACAGTGTGTCTCGTGGAACAGGGAGTCAGCAAAGCCAGGGAACACATCATAATGCATGACATAATTGCACTGAAATGGGTCTTTGCACATGTAAACACAAGAAGTTTAGGGAAAACTCAGTCCATGTCAGTGGGTGGGGTCTTCTTCCCCAAAATGACAGGTAAACTGTTAAAGCTAATCCAGAAAGTAACCCAGTTTTCTGCCATTCCCACAGAAATGGTGCGATTAAAATAATGATCGCTGCTGTGGGAGCGTATTTATAGCCAATTACACATGAGCAGGACAGTAGACGGCATGTAAAAACTACTGTGAATCATTTTAAACCAGCTTTTTAATATCTTTAGCCATGGGTAAAACGCTGCTGTACTGGGGCCTCTTATGGTCTTATGGCTGCAGGACCCTGGTCATGCTATTGGCTAAGCTCATATAGGTGTAATCACTGCCAGAGAAGTGGCAATTGGCTCTGCTTTCACAGTTTCTAAAGGTTTTATAATTTGCCTTCAAAAGAGTTGGAATTTCCAATCCTCATCAGTAACGATGGCAGTAATGTCTGATTCTCAAGATGTTCAATAATGTTAGTTAAATGGTACAAGTTGGTCAAACAGATCAGCTGCTTCCCTCAGCTGTTCATGTCTGTGGTGGAGCCATTATGAACAAATATCCTGAACGGATGAGATGATGTTCAGACAGAACTACAGTCTGTTACAGATGTTGGCTTTTGTTTCAACAGAGATTCAGTCTAGCACGAGCAAACTGCTAACCGTCTTTACGGTGAAGGTTTGGGATGAGCTCATCACAAAACTGTTGGGTTTATGTTAATGAGTGAGGTTTTGATTTGTTTTAATGATCAAGTTTATTATTACCCAACTTCAGCACCCAACTTCAGCACCCAACTTCAGTACCCAACTTCATTACCCAACTTCAGCACCCAACTTCATCACCCAACTTCAGCACCCAACTTCATCACCCAACTTCATCACCCAACTTCAGCACCCAACTTCAGCACCCAACTTCATTACCCAACTTCAGCACCCAACTTCAGCACCCAACTTCATTACCCAACTTCATCACCCAACTCTATCGCCTGACTTTATCACTGGACTCCAGTGCCCAACTTTATTGCTTGACTCTGTTGCCCGAATCCTTTGCCCGACTCTGTTCCCCAACTTTATCACCCAACTCTGTTGCCCGACTCCATCACCCAACTCCGTTCCCCGACTTTATCGCCCGACTCCACTGCCTGACTCTGTTGCCTGACTCCATCGCCCAACTCCGTTCCCCAACCTTATCGCCCAACCCCACTGCCTGACTCTGTTGCCCGACTTTATCACCCAACTCCACTGCCCAACTTTATTGCTCGACTCTGTTGCCCACCTTCATTGCCTGACTTCATCACCTGTTCATGGTTTCAACACTGCAGTCCTTTACACTGTGTGAAAAGTTCATGATGAATGGATGAAATGCTCTGAAATCACTTGGAGTTTTTGTCTTCTCCTGTAAAGCTACCATTTTGGAGATACATGTTTTTCTTTGATCAGCAAAAATATGCAATTAATAAATAATCGAAGCCCATTTCCATCACTGGAAAAATATATAGCCATTTAGTGAGACAAAATAATGAACGTTTTCCATATTTATGACTAAACATCTCAAATGACTTAACATCTCATGACTTAGTATCTCATAATATTGACTCACTATCTCATAATTATGAGAAAACTTTCTCATTATTATGAGACAGTAAATCATAACTATGAGATACAAAGTCATAATTATGAGATACTGAGTCATAATTATGAGACTAATCTAATTATTATGAGATAATAAGTCATTATTATGAGAAACTAAGTCATGAGATTTTAAGTCGGAATTATTAGATACTGAGTCATATGAATCTAATTATTACAAGAAAGTGAGTTAGAATTATAGCTCACTGAGTCATAATTATGAGACTGAATCTAATTATTACCAGAATGTAAGTCATCATTATGAGATACTGAATCATAATTATGAGACTGAATCTAATTATTATGATAAAGTAAGTCATAATTATGTGATACTGATTATTATGAGAAATCATGAAGTCATGAGAAGTCATGAGATTTTAAGTCGTAATTATTAGACATTGAGTCATAATTATGAGACTGAATCTAATTATTACCAGAAAGTCATTATTATGAGATACTGAGTCATAATAATGAGACTGAATCTAATTATTACCAGAATCTAAGTCATCATTATGAGATACTGAATCATAATAATGATGCTTAATCTAATTATTATGAGAAAGTAAGTCATAATTATGTGATACTGATTATTATGAGAAATCATGAAGTCATGAGAAGTCATGAGATTTTAAGTCGTAATTATTAGACATTGAGTCATAATTATGAGACTGAATCTAATTATTACCAGAAAGTCATTATTATGAGATACTGAGTCATAATAATGAGACTGAATCTAATTATTACCAGAATGTAAGTCATCATTATGAGATACTGAATCATAATAATGAGACTGAATCTAATTATTATGACAAAGTAAGTCATAATTATGTGATACGGAGTCATAATAATGATGCTTAATCTAATTATTATGAGAATATAAGTCATAATTATGAGACTTAATCTAATTATGACAAGAAAGTCATTATTATGAGATACTGAGCCATAATTATTATGAGAAAGTAAATCATAATTGTGATACCGAGTCATAATAATGATGCTTAATCTAATTATTATGAGAATGTAAGTCATATTTATGAGACTGAATCTAATTATGACAAGAAAGTAAGTCAGAATTATTAGACACTGAGTCATACTTATGAGACTAAATCTAATTATTATGAGATACTAACTCGTTATGATGAGATGATAAGCCATAACTATGGAAAACTTTCTCATTTTTATGGCTCACTAAATGGCTCCAGTGGCTTCCATAATAAACAGTCCATGTCCTCGAATGAGAGGTTTGCCATGTTTCTGTGAAGCTTGTCTACTTGTGAGCGGAGCGTGAACTAAGTCGATTCACTTGAATCGAATTTTTGAATCAGACGTTCGATTCATTTGAACTGGGCGGTAGACTACCCCTATAATAGCCCCTATACTATATTCCTGCGGAACAGGAGGCAGCAGTTTCAGGACCGCAATTCCAGGACCATATGCTTTTCCTTCCTGTCTACCTGACTACTTACAGTTTTAAAGGCTTTTTCCACCCGAATACTACAACTTTATCTAACTTACAGTTTTAGAGGCTTATTCCACCCAAATACTACTATTTTATCTAACTTACAGTTTTAGAGGCTTATTCCACCCAAATACTACTATTTTATCTAACTTACAGTTTTAGAGGCTTATTCCACCCAAATACTACTATTTTATCTTTTATCTATATAATCCCCCTCAATCACACACACAAAAAAAAGCAAATGGGTTAAACAGGGACATTTAAAACTGGGATGGTTTCTCTTTTCCACGTGTTAAATGCGGTCCTTATATCCACTTCGCTAGGGAGCAGTGTCACGAAAACGTGGTGGTCCTGGAATTGCGGTCCTGGAACTGCTGCCTCCTGTTCTGCAGTCAGACCCTACTCGGTGAGGGGGATTATATCTTACTTGTTGAATCTTGTTGGTTGTTATTGTTGATATATTAAATAAATATTATGGCACCAAAACCTTTCTTGTGTCTCAAATATCTGGTTGAGATTTAGTGACTGTAAAAGCAATATGTGCAATTGATTGTATCTTTATTTTTACACAATTACACAAAATGCAACTCTTAGTAAACAAGTTTAATTCTGAGAAAGTAGTATTCGGGTGGAAAAAGCCTCTAAAACTGTAAGTAGTCAGGTAGACCGGAAGGAAAACATATGGTCCTGGAATTGCGGTCCTGGAACTGCTGCCTCCTGTTCTGCAGGAATATAGTATAGTACTCGGTAGACTTCTAATTCAATTGAATCGACTCGTTCCATGCTCCGTTGAAACTGAACCGAGTCCGTTCGAGCGACGTCACTCCGAAAGCTCCGTACATGGACACTCTACGTCACGGTCACAAACAAGCCGAGAGCCTTTAGCTGTAGCTTTTTCCGCACAGCGCCGTGAGGATGACCGGCTCTCTGTAGCCGCCGATGGAAACGACAACATTTCCCGGATTTACGTCTCCATAAGAGGATCCAGCGATGAGTCTGAGAAGCGTATAAGCGGCGGAGGGGGCGAATCTCCCTACACCATAATAGATATAGCTGCTAAGCTAAGCTAAACGAAGCTAGGCTAACGGCGGAGTCTCCTCGGCGCTGTGACCGGGGAAGGAGCTCGGGCGCCGGGCAGAGCGCTGTGTTTACCACCGGTAGGCTTCGACACTAACCGCCAGCTCACGGCAGGCCTTTCCCCCCTAGAGAAATGTGTTTGTGTTCTGGACAGTCAACCAGGCCATCGTCCGCGCTGAGTTAGTCAACTATTCATCTGTCATGAGTCATTTTTAAAGGTTTCGTCTAGCTAACCTAACGATGTGGCCCTGCCGAATTTTCCCGTTCCACCTTAAATGGTGCAGCAATTACGTTCTGGTGCCTGAGTGTCTGATTATCTGTATATATCCATATCTAAACTGGTTTATATGTTATTAATTTCTCCTATTAATGACTTACTGTCTCGTAATTATGAGGAAGTAAGTCATAATTATGAAGTGCCAATATAAATCTAAGTGAATAGTTAAAGACCGGTCTATATTATAAACATTTAGTATTGGTACTGTTTACTCTTATATATATACACACACCGATCAGGCACAACATTATGACCACCTCCTTGTTTCTACGCTCATTGTCCATTTTATCAGCTCCACTTACTATATAGGTGCACTTTGTAGTTCTACAGTTACAGACTGTAGTCCATCTGTTTCTCTGATACTTTGTTAGCCCCCTTTTACCCTGTTCTTCAGTGGTCAGGACCCCCATGGACCCTCACAGAGCAGGTACTATTTGGGTGGTGGATCATTCTCAGCACTGCAGTAACACTGACGTGGTGGTGGTGTTTTAGTGTGTGTTGTGCTGGTTCGAGTGGATCAGACACAGCAGTGCTGCTGGAGTTTTTAAACACTGTGTCCACTCACTGTCCACTCTATTAGACACTCCTACCTTGTCGGTCTACCTTGTAGATGTAAAGTCAGAGACGATGGCTCATCTGCTGCTGCACAGTTTGTGTTGGTCATCCCTCTAGACCTTCATCAGTGGTCACAGGACGCTGCCCACAGGACGCTGTGCTGGAATTTTTGGTGGTGGACTATTCTCAGTCCAGCAGTGACACTGAGGTGTTTAAAAACTCCAGCAGCACTGCTGTGTCTGATCCACTCAGACCAGCGCAACACACACTAACACACCACCACCACGTCAGTGTTACTGCAGTGCTGAGAATGATCCCACCACCCAAACAGTACCTGCTCTGTGAGGGTCCATGGGGGTCCTGACCACTGAAGAACAGGGTAAAAGGGGGCTAACGAAGTATCAGAGAAACAGATGGACTACAGTCTGTAACTGTAGAACTACAAAGGTGCACCTATATAGTAAGTGGAGCTGATAAAATGGACAATGAGCGTAGAAACAAGGAGGAGGTCATAATGTTATGCCTGATCGGTGTATAGAGTACAGAATAGTGACGTATTCAGTTAAGTATACAGCTGTTAAGTGTTAAGACGCTAAGTCATAACAGAAGTGTACAGTGTGTAATAAATAAGCACAGGCCTTTTCCAGTGTGTGCAGTATATACTGTAGTCTTCTACTGGTGCAGTGTGATGCTTGCTGGGAAGAAGGTGGACCTGACTGGCTGACCCGGATGCTCCTGTTTCTCCCTCCTGGACAGATGGAGGTTATACAGTGCGTGGTTGGGGTGGGAAGGAGTCCCTGATGATGGTAGTCGCTCTGTGTAGACAGACAGATGGTGGGGAGACAGGCATCAGTGATGCGCATGAAGTCATTCAGAGTGGTTTGGTGTGAAATGGTTCAGATTTCCTTTACAGTGGTGGTGATAGGAACCAGGGGTCGCCATGACTACAACACAAATATAGACATTTTATTTACTATCCAGAACCACCAGTGAACCTACACGAGTCTTCTGAGTTTATATGGAATGTTGATGATGGAAAATAGTGGAAAATCTGAAATAATAAGTTTTCTTTGAGGACTATTTTGCCTCACAGCGCCCTGCATGTATCCCTCCACCATGAATGGATTAAAATAAATAATTTAAAACAAAAATTTTAAGCAAAACTTAATTATAGTCATCAGGCAGTGAATTCTTAACCATTTCATGTAGGAACTTTCTGTGAGGGAGCTTTTAGAGGTGGACGTCTGGTTCCTATCACCACCACTGTGGAAAATTCTGACTCTGTAAGTTTCTCTAGAACGGAGCGTTTCACACCAAACCACTCTGAACGACTCTGTTTACATCTTAACCTACTGATTATGTAGAATAAAAAAAAAAATGGTGGAGCTCCTCTTTCAGGAGTCGCGGCACGGCCTGAGCTGTTGACACAACGAAATCATCAGAAAGCGGAATAACGAACAGATTTATTCACCCATGAGGCGAAATGTGAGGTATACATTGATGCTACATCCATAGAACGACAGATTTAATGTCTTACTATTAGAAAAAGGTCCTAGTTTTCTGTAATAAATCTGTTTTGAGTCTAAAATGAAGGCCCTGTATTGGAATCCCGAAGGAAAAAAAGTTAAGATCAACATTTCTAGTTATGTCTCAGGGCTGATGCTTTTATTTTGGAAATATTGTTTGGCTCAGTCTGGGTGAGATGAGTCAGACAGGGGTATTTAAGCCATCTGTGAGACAGTATTTTGATCAGAGTAAGACAGTCCATGTTTCTCAGGAGCCACATTTCAGAAACACTGATTTCAGACAGGGAGGTTAAGAGGGGATCTTGTTTAGTCTATTTCTTTACTCTGGGGCCCCGGCCCCTCAGCCTCGGGGCCCCCAGAGAGAGCTGCTTACTGGAGAACATGGGTTTCGTCCCTGTTCACCCAGAGAGAGCTACTTAAGTTCTTTTGATGTGGAACATGAGTTTGGTTGCTGTGTTCATCCAGAGAGAGCTGCTTAGGTTCCTTTTACTGGAGAACATGGGTTTGGTTCTTGTTCCTTCATAGAAAGCTGCTTAGGTTATTTATTTTGATGTAGGAGATGCATTTGGGTCATATGTTTATCCAGAGAGAGCTGCTTTGGTTCCTTTTTCTGAAGAACGTGGGTTTGGTTCTTTTTCATCCAGAGGGAGCTGCTTACTAGATAACATGGGCTTGGTTCCTGTGATCTTCCAGAGAGAGCTGCTTAGGTTCCCTTTACTGGAGAACATGGGTTTGTTTCTTGTTCCTTCATAGAGAGCTGCTTAGGTTCCTTTTACTGGAAAATATTGATTTGGTTCTTGTTCATCCAGTGAGAGTTGTTTAGGTTCCTTTTACTGGAAAATATTGATTTGGTTCTTGTTCATCCAGTGAGAGTTGTTTAGGTTCCTTTTACTGGAGAACATGGGTTTGATTCTTGTTCATCCAGAGAGAGCTACTTCTGTTCTTTTGATGCAGAACACAAGTTTGGTTCTTGTGTACATCCAAAAAGAGCTGTGTAGGTTCCTTTTACTGAAGAACATGGTTTGGTTCTTTTTTTAATCTAGAGAGAGCTGCGTACTGGAGAACATGGGTTTGGTTCCTGTTTTCATCCAGAGAGAGCTGCTTAGGTTCCTTTTCTGTAGGACGTAGATTTGGATCGTATGCTTATTCAGAGCGAGCTGTGTGGGTTCTTGTGGTGCAGAACACTGGTCTGATTCCTGTGTTCATCCAGAGAGAGCTGCTTAGGTTCCTGTCATTGGAGGATATTGATGACTCTGGTTCTTGTGTGTTCTCACCACATGCTCTCCTCCTTTCTCGGTTACAGCTCGAGGACAGAGGCATCTCTCCAAGTGACGCCGTACCCCGGGAGCGGCCGGTGCCCCAGCCGAAGAGACGGGGAACAGGATTGGGAAGCAGGGGGGAGCGGCCACCGCAGAGCCCGTGGAGAAGATGCAGGCCGGCAGCCCGGAGAAGGGCTCCTCCTCGGCGCAGGAGCTCAAGGAGCAGGGCAACCGCCTGTTCCTCTGCCGCAAGTACCAGGAGGCCGCTGCCTGCTACAGCAAAGCCATAGTAAGTGCGCAGGTAGAAGGGGGTGGGATTGGTCACCCCTGTGCTGGGCCATCACAGCAGGTCCCAGTCTACCCAGTCTAACCATCACTGTACCTGGAAATGTTACTGTTAAAATACCTCACACAAAGTTTTGTGCTGACCAGCTATCAGTGAGCTAGACTAGTACATGGTGTATACCTAATGGGGGGGCGTGTCCAATCCTGGTCCTGGAGATCTCCCACCCTGGATCATCTTCATTACCTGGATCAGGTGTGTAAGATTAGGGTTGGAGCTAAACTCTGCAAAAACATGGTTATTCAAGGGTTCTTTAGCAAAGACAGAGTTCTGTGTAGAACCATGAGCACTCAAAGAACCATTTGCATGCTTAAGTGGTTCTTTGCCTGTTGAAATTGTTCTTCAGATTAATGGAGAATGTGTTGTGTATGGTTCTACATAGAACCTTTTTGAAAATGCTTCTGTATAGCACCAAAAATAGCAGAACCCTTAGCAGAATGGTTCTTCAGATTAACGGAGAATGTGTTGTGTGTGGTTCTATACAGCACCAAAAGGGGTTCTGCTATTTTTACAAGCTTGACATTATAACAAAAGCAGAACCCTTAACAAAATGGTTCTTCAGATTAATGGAGAAGGTGTTGTGTATGGTTCTAGATATTACCTTTGTGAAATGCTTCTATATAGCACCAAAAAGTGTTCTGTTATTGTTACAATGTCTGGCTTGTAACAATAGCAGAACCCTTTTTGGTACTATACTGAACCATATACAGCACATTCTCCATCAATCTGAACGAATTTACCATGCAGAGGTGTTATTTAGGCATGGAACGGTTGTTTAAATGTTTATTATTCTACATAGAACCATTTTCTTTGCTAAAGAACCCTTGAATAACCTTCATTTTAAGAGTGTAGATCTCCAGCGTTGGGTGCACCTGCATTAAAGTGTCAATTTTTAAATATTTCCAGTGCTAATTATGTGTTAATTGCCACTCAGTGATTACTAATGTACCTACAAAGACATTGTTCAAATAACGCACACAGTGTTCTGGACAGAGCAGTGATGAGTGAACCAGTTAACCTCTTAAAATCACAGGCTTATTATATATTATGGCTTATAATTCAGTAACTACATCGGAAAACAATGCAAATTGACCAGGTTATTACTTATTAATGCAAATTAACCAGACTATTAGTTATCAAGTAATAAGCGAGAGTAATAGTTTGAATCTGCTGGTGGTTCCTGCCTTTTTAAGGGTTGATGAAAGCTAATAAGTCTTAGAGCTTGAAATGTTTTTCAGATATGTGTCGAGCTCAGGTCTCTCGGGTTCTTACAGCTCATCTCCCGTTTTTAACAGATTTTGTCTGCATTTCCCCCACTTTAGTTTTTCTCCTTACTTTATTCTTTACTACTTATACCTTCAATCATTTTTTTAATCTGGTGCGCTGGAGTCACCCACCCAGGACTGGGGTCCACGAAGGCCACACTCGTGAGAAAACTGGACATAAAGAGTGAATTAATTCAGGAAAGTTACAGTTTAGTGCAGTTAGTTAATTTGTTTGGCCAAAAATATGTTTTAAGGTGGAACGGGAAAATTTGAACAAGAAGCTGGAGAATATCTGACTTCAGCTTCATATCACTGAAGAATTAGGGGTGGGTGATAATAAATAATCGCCCCCCTCTTTGAAGATCATATGATGCCCTAAATGTAACTAAAGCCCAGCAGTGAGGAGCTGAACTTTACCCTCCTCTGCTGTCACTGCAGACTGGCAGGGTCGCCTACAGAGCAGCGCTGGTAGCTGTTAATGAAGTGATGCTCTTTTTATTTGAGGGTCCCATTTCAGAGGAAGATTTCAACCACTACCCTCTAACTCAGTTCCAAGGGGTTAGGGGGACACTCGAAAACGAGGGGTAGGGGTAAAAAGAAGAAATGGGACTGGGCCATAGATTAATACACAGAACTTTGTAGTATTAGTGTTTAGGTCACACTTAGGATAGAACACTAGTTTTCCTGTCACTGATAACGTATCAGTCGCCTTGTTAGTTGGGGCCATAATCATAATACAGTGTCCACTGTAATTATCACTGTACCTGGAGACGTTATTGTTTAAATACCACATATTTTTACTGTTTGAATACCCCATACAGTGCTTTGGACAGATTATTGATCAGTTTTTTTTTGGGTGGGTCGATTGTAGTTCAGCTTGCAGTTCAGTTTAGTCAGCCTGTCTTTCTGTTCTCTTAGAAGCACAAAGAAGATGTATGCAAGCCTTTGTGTGTCTGAGTATGTGTGTGCAAGCTGTACGCTGTATTGTGGCCACGTATACAGTCTGGGTTTGTTCTTTTGACTGCGCTGCTCTTTTCCTCACACATTTTGGCTGCTGTTATTGAGCTAATCACAGTTATTAAAGTTCAGCTGTGTGCTGTGGTCTGGCTGAAATATGTGTGCATAAGTGGGTTGATTCTTCACTGCAGCCAAAAGTGTAATCCACTTCACTGTGATCGCTTCTGTTTAATGCACATGTTTAACGCTGTGGGTCGTAGAGCTCCCATTAACCCAGGGGTCGGCCACATGCAGCTCTTTTACTGCCCTGTTGTGGCTCCACAGCTGAATTAGATTTGTAGGTAAAAATAAAATAATCCTCCTTTACAGTAAAATAAAGCTCTGCTGATCGTTCAACACAGTTTAACAATAAATGGTCTTAAACTCTGGAGTTAATGTAGAACTGCTGATTCACCCTTTAACCCTGAAGATCAGCGCAGACTGCTGGTCACCATAGCAACACAGACAACAGTCTCGCCTAGCTAGTAGCTAACGAAACGGCAAAGAGAGAGATTTAAGATGAACATTGATAATTTGGAGATTAATGGACTGATTTACATTTATAATCACTCCAGCTGGTTTCCTGATACGTTTAATCTGCAACGAGAAACTGGCAAACACTTAAAAGTTGCGAAGCTGAAGTCGGTTTCTTGTTTGAATTGTCCCGTTCCACCTTAAATGGTGCAGCAGTTATATTCTGGTGCACCATTTAAGGTACTCAGGCACCATTTAAGAAACAAACAAGAAGCTGGTGAATGTAAAAAGTCAAACTTTGAGAGACATTTTACAAGAAATTATTCTTCTTTTGTGGAAAAGTTTCCTGCTGGAGATGCGAGAAAAGCGGTTATAGCTGAGCTAAACTTAAAGCAGAGCAAAGTAAGTCTGTGTTTTTAGTCTATACTAGTACATCAGCACAGACTGAGACACATTAACAGCCGAGAGGTAAAATGAAGGATGTTGTGGCTCCCAAGGTGGTTAGATTTTTGTTGTTAGTTTTGTTTGTTCTTAACATTTGGGTTGCCATCCCCTGCATTAACGGTTAAATGGATAGTGCGACAGCTTGGCGAAAAAAGACAAACTTGGCATAATTTCCCCCTTTAACCCTAAATGTAGTCAGTCCACCAAGACTCGTTTGGTGCCTATAGTTTGCTTCTTCAGTTTTAGCGTTGGAGCTATGAGGCTGATTAAGTTAACAAGTAATAAAAAAGTTTATACCTCACCAATTCGGTGTTCTGGTCTTAACTTCATGCCTACATATCATATTTGCTTCAAACTGTATGAAGTAATCTCTAATAGACTATTTTAGGATAGATTTTAAAGGACCACGACTTGTTTTTAAAGCATGAATTAGCACCATCACACACAGCGTCCGTCTCTGTCTGCTGCAAAACGCTCTTTAAGGTCAAGTAATGGTGGCTTCCTTAAAATACCAACAGTTAGTATGAAAAGAAGAGCTGAGGCAGCTTTTTTGTTTTTATGCACCCAAAAAATGTAATGATTTCCTAAGAAAGATTAGACAGGCAGCACTAGCGCGTAATTTCAAGTGGCAGCTGAAAACATATATATATTTTTTTTAACTTGCTTTTCATTATTCAGTTGTTTTTACTTACTTACAGTACTAATATCACTGCATTTATTTTTAAATTAGCGATTATTATTTTTTTGTTACTATTCTGATTTTTATTTATTTAAAATTTATATCATTATTATTATTATTATGACTATTATTATTGTTATTATTATTATTGTTATTATTATTATTGTTATTATATGTTGTTTATTTTACATTACTACTATACTTGCTTTTTTATATTGTCTTTATAAATATTATTTCTGACTTTGTATTCATGTTGTCTTATTTAACTGTGCGCATATATCCCTTTTGTCTTTTACCCTCTGTGAAGCTCTTCCAGCTGCATTTATGTATGAAACGTGCTATACAAATAAAGCTTATTATTATTATTATTATTATTAGACTTTATTGTGTGGTTTCTTACACTGTTTAGTATAATGTTATCTATAAATATGGACTAAAGTATGGACAAAATTCAGGCTTTAGAGTGGCTGCTCCTGTTTTTTTGCTATACGATGTGCTTTAGTCCATGTTTGTAGATAAGTGTGTCATACAGTGTCAGAAACCGGCTGTTATTACTTGTTGGCTACGTCAGCTTTTTAGCTCCAGCGCGAAACTAAAGAAACAGACTTCAGACACAAAACATGTCTTGCCTGATCGACTACATTCGAGATAAGGGGATCATTGTATGAAGCAGGTTTTTTGCAGCATGCTTGTGTTCAGGGCAGAAATATCAGTAAGTGAGTTTCCTTAATGTTGCCTCTTTCTCCGTGTTTTTCCTATTAGAACCGGAATCCCTCAGTAGCAGTCTACTACACTAATCGGGCATTGTGCTATGTGAAGCTACAGCAGTATGATAAGGCACTGGCTGACTGCAAACACGCACTAGAGCTCGATAGCCAATCAGTCAAGGCGCACTTCTTCCTGGGGCAGTGCCACCTGGAGCTGGAGAACTATGAGGAGGCCATCGGCAACCTGCAAAGAGGTACTCATACACACAAACCATTGACAGCCTGAGGACAGGTTCACTGGTCCACATAGAGATGAACAAGAAGTCATTTTAATATTGAAATCACAAGAGCTGGAATTTTTATTATAGTCTACATTAGAGATGCTTCAATACTGATATACTAGTATTGGGTATCAGCAATCAACAACAATAAATTTCACCCCTTCGCCCCTACCACTCAGCCCTACCCCTCTGTTCTGTGTGTTCTTGTCTAGGGGTAGGGTGTCCCAATTCTTGTTGAGATAGGGGATTAGGGTGAAGTGTTGGGGCTACATGACCCTCCAAACGGAGGTTTTTCAGAGACTCCAAACAGAGAGTTATGAGAGAAAAAGAAAAACCGGTGAGATGGAGAACAAGAGACCAAAGAAACCCACAAATGTGAGAATTTTCTCCGTTAAAAATTACGATAATCACTGTATTATCTTAGTTTAATGTCATTTCAGTGTATTTTGGTCATTTTCTTTGTAACAAGCATAAAAAATTGCTAATAGCATGCTAATGTCTCAGTAGCTAGCTAGCTAACTTTCCCGTTCCACCTTAAATAGTCCAGCAGTTCTGATGCCTGAAGCGCCAGGATGTAACCGCTGCTCCATTTAAGGTGGAACGGTAAAATTCAAACAAGAAGCTGGAGAATATCTGACTTCAGCTTCATATCACTGAAGAATTAGTGGTGGGTGATAATAAATAATTGCCCCCTCTTTGAAGGCATATGAGTCCCTAAATGTAACTAAAGCCCAGCAGTGAGGAGCTGAACTTTACCCTCCTCTGCTGTCACTGCAGACTGGCAGGGTCACCTCCAGAGCAGCGCTGGTAGCTGTTAATGAAGTGATGCTCTTTTTATTTGAGGGTCCCATTTCAGAGGGAAGATTTCAACCACTACCCTGTAACTCAGTTCCAAGGGGTTAGGGTGACACTCGAAAACAAGGGGTAGGGGTAAAAAGAAGAAATGGGACTGGGCCATAGGCTAACAAAACAGGGACTGAAAAGTTGACGTTTCCCCCTAAAGTCCCTCTGTACGACTGTACTCAGTTTTATTTATTTATTTATTTTTTTGGATTTCCCCCCAATTTTCCTCCAATTTCACCCACTAGTTAGGACTTCTCCAATCACACTGTTGTGCTCTCTTGGACTCCTGGCCATGGATGACTGTAGCATCACCAGGGATCGAACTCCTGATGACAGGGCCAACGCTTAGACAGTTGTGGACTCTTTTGTTTGTCTCAGTCTCATTACGAGGTATAAATGCTAACACTGATTTTTTTTTTTTTAATCTATCTTTGTAAAAAAGGCTGTAAAGAGACCATTGATGGAAGATTTTTAATAAATACACCCTTAATCGATAAATAAATAGATTAGACATGTATTCAATAATCAAATAGTTAAGCATTGACTAATGGGGAATATTAATTTCTCACTAAGACGTAACAGAGGAAATGCAGTAGGCCATAGTCTGCCATAGTTGGGTGCTCGCCAACAGCAAATGGACTTGCTGACTCCACATGCAGGTGTCTGAGTAAACTTGTGAACTTGCATGATATCACAGAGGAATGGCCTTGAAGGAGGGGATGAACTGGTAAGAACTGGCTGAAACCAGCTTTTTAAGAAGGAGTGTTGTATACATGAGATACATTATGTATATTTAATGAAGGGGTTTTGTATCCAGTGGGACCAAATGGAATGCAAAAAAAAAGATAAGAAGGGTGTGGCGAGGTGATATCAACCCAGATAAAGTGTATAAAAGTCATTGTCTGAACATTGTATTTGCGCAGCTGGGTCTCTCGAGACTCTGTGCCATCTGATACTGGAATAACGAAGAAGCCTTTTCCCCTCTTCCACAAACTCAGCGTCTGAAGACTCTTTCCTTTTTGACATCTTTTGAGAACTTAGACTTAGTTATCAGTTTAAGTGTTTAGCCAGTATTAAAGGACTTCTTTTTAAATAATATTATGTTTGAGGCCTGGGGTTGAAGGGGACAGCCCTTGGTCCCGACACCATATTGTCCTAATAATATCACGAAGCTGGTGAAAGTACCTGTACATCACCCATTCAAGCAAGAAAATTTAGATATTCTGGCAAAAAAGTGTAGGGGGCGATATGGCTTCTACTATTTCATTTAAAAAGCCTCTATAATGTTCATATGATACATACAGTCATTCTGACAGACTGTAATACACTACAGGAAGTGTAGGGGGCGATATGGCTTCTACTGTTTCATTTAAAAAGCCTCTATAATGTTCATATGATCCACAGTCACTCTGACAGACTGTAATACACTACAGGAAGTGTAGGGGGCGATATGGCTTCTACTGTTTCATTTAAAAAGCCTCTATAATGTTCATATGATCCACACAGTCATTCTGACAGACAGTAATACACTACAGGAAGTGTAGGGGGTGATATGGCTTCTACTGTTTCATTTAAAAAGCTCTATAATGTTCATATGATCCACACAGTCGCTCTGACAGACTGTAATACACTACAGGAAGTGTAGGGGGCGATATGGCTTCTACTGTTTCATTTAAAAAGCCTCTATAATGTTCATATGATCCACAGTCACTCTGACAGACTGTAATACACTACAGGAAGTGTAGGGGGCGATATGGCTTCTACTGTTTCATTTAAAAAGCCTCTATAATGTTCATATGATCCACACAGTCACTCTGACAGACTGTAATACACTACAGGAAGTGTAGGGGGCGATATGGCTTCTACTGTTTCATTTAAAAAGCCTCTATAATGTTCATATGATCCACACAGTCACTCTGACAGACTGTAATACACTACAGGAAGCGTAGGGGGCGATATGGCTTCTACTGTTTCATTTAAAAAGCCTCTATAATGTTCATGTCAGTAGGTTCAGCCTAATTGTTGACAGTAGTGTAATTGCACACCACTGCCTTCCACAAGCCAACAGTTTTGACCCCTCTTCTTTCTGCAGCGTACAACCTGGCGAAAGAGCAGCGTCTGAATTTTGGCGATGACATTCCGAGCGCTCTGCGCATCGCTAAGAAAAAGCGCTGGAACAGCATGGAGGAGAAACGGATCAGCCAGGAAAACGAGCTGCACGCCTATCTCACCAAACTCATCCTGGCTGAGAGGGAGAGGTAGCTCTGCCGTCCGTCGCTGATGTTTGATTTAGCCATGTTGCTGACCGTGTGAACACTTTGTATGAGCGCCTCTGAGTTTTTCTTCCCTCTGCATGTGTGTTCGCAGGGAAATGGAGGCCTACAGAGAGAAGCAGGTGGACGACAATCAGATCGACAGTGAAATCAGCAAGATCAAATCCAAACACGTGAGTTCATTAAAGGCACAAAGATGTGATCTTCAAGACATGTTCACAATACACATCCTGATATATTTCGTTTTCAAGGGTTTGATGAGTTTGAACTTGAGTTGTTGTAGTTGAGTTGTAGAGGTGGGCAGTTGGACAATATTTATTGTTATTGCGATAAATTACGTTAGAATATGTCACAATATGCTTTTCTGTGCATACTGTGGATATCCTCAACACTTAAACACTTCCCAGCTGCACGTCATTACAACGAGAGTATAATTAGACCTGTTTAATTTGCTTTTACACAAGGCGGTGACGTGAAATGCTGAATAAAAAGGTTTTTACTCAGTTTTTGATAGTGTTTTTTAAATATAGTGCTAATTGTGCTTTGTGTTCGCTTCAAATTCAGACCTCTGAAAACGAAATATATCATGATGTGTATTGCGAACATGTCTTATTGTAATTATATTTCTGTCATTTTGCCCTTCCCTGCAGTGATATGATTGATCAGTTTCTAATTTCTCTCCCACATACGCTTCCTTTTTTCCCCTCTCTGGCTATATCTTACTCTCTCACTTTCTCTTTCTTTCTCTGACTGAAGGATAAATATCTGATGGACATGGATGAGCTCTTTGCTCAAGTGGACGAGAAGAGAAAGGTGAGTGAGTGAGCAGGCTGAATAAATGAGAGGGAGATGAGGGGAAGCAGAGAGGACATCTGAAACACCTGAACCTGTCTGTGTGTGGAGTGTTTTATTGAAATAATGTGATACAGGACTTTTATATCTGCTCATGTAATAATGTTGTGCAAGTCTAAAATTGTCACACCCTTGAGTTTATAGTTACAGGCTGTGTGTGTGTGTGTGTGTGTGTGTGTGTGTGTAGAAGAGGGAGATTCCAGACTATCTTTGTGGGAAAATCAGCTTTGAACTGATGAGGGAGCCTTGCATCACACCCAGTGGCATCACCTACGACCGCAAAGACATAGAGGAACATCTACAGGTACATACAGGCGCATATAAAGAATAATAAAGTATAGCATCCTCTGGCCGTATTACAGAAACATCTTAAGTCTGAAATCTGATCTGTTTAATCACTGTAACAGCTACAGTACAGACTGAATTTAGGACAGTAGCTATTACAGAATAACAGCTCCTAACTTCATAATCTGATCATTAACTCCAGATAAGAAAACAGGATCACACAAACATCCTAACTAGACTAAACCTCCTAAATACTGTCCTAACTTTAGGATAAACCCCAGCAGTGTGCTAACTTCTGCTTCTGCTGTTAGCTGCTCTAATGAAAAAGGAATGTTAATGTTCTTAAGCAGCTCTGACAGGCAGTAAAACAGGTTCCCTGGAACTGGCAAAATGCCAGTACGTTTATTTAAATTGCGAAACGGTGGTTTAATTTGCGAGAATTTGTTTTTTTCCCTGCGGTTCAAAAATCCTAGACACTGCAGACACAACCTCCACCGTCCCCTCTCATTACCTGCGTGTGTTAATGTTGATAAAAACTCTTCAAATTAAAATATTACAGCGCTGGTGGTGAATAATAAGGAAGTTATAACGTGGCTGTTTATCAGCACTCGGCTAAAGCGTTTGGGAAATGGAGACTGAAACTGGGGAGCAGCGACACTCTAATAAACAGCAGGGGACGGGATGTCAACCTCGATCAAGTAGTTTAGGATTTCCTAACTGGAGTTAAGATGCTGTCAGATAAGATAAATTTAGATCAGATTTGTTTCTGTAATACAAAATTGTGAAAAATCTCTTCTTGACCTGTATGTTAACTTAGGACTAAAGATGGGAAGATTCTGTGTTACGGTCCCTGGTTTCTATTTCTTGGATTTTTAAAACCATGACTTTATTCATATATATATATATATATATCACTTTAGTTGGAACAAAACCTTGTATCTTAATTTTTGTCGTTTTTCAGTTTTGGTATGGAGGGGTGGGAGTCAGTAGGGTGAGGATATGAAGGGGTGGGGGTCAGTAAGGGTGGGGGTCAGTAAGGGTGGGGGTATGGAGGAGTGGGAGTCAGTAGGGTGAGGATATGAAGGGGTGGGGGTCAGTAAGGGTGGGGGTATGGAGGAGTGGGAGTCAGTAGGGTGAGGATATGAAGGGTGGGGGTCAGTAGGGGTGGGGGTATGGAGGAGTGGGAGTCAGTAGGGTGAGGATATGAAGGGGTGGGGATCAGTAGGGTGTGGGTATGGAGGAGTTGGGGTCAGTATGAGAGTGGGGTATGGTGGTTGGGGCTCAGTAAGGGTGGGGTATGGAGGCGTGGGGGTCAGTATGGGTGGGGATATGAAGGGGTTGGGCTCAGTAGGGTGGGGGCATAGAGGAGTGAAGGTCAGTACGGGTGGGGGATATGAAGGGGTTGGGCTCAGTAGGGTGGGGGTATGGAGGCGTGGGGGTCAGTATGGGTGGGGATATGAAGGGGTTGGGCTCAGTAGGGTGGGGGCATAGAGGAGTGAAGGTCAGTACGGGTGGGGGGTATGGAGGGGTTGGGAGTCAGTAGGGTGGGGGTATGGAGGAGTGGGGGTCAGTATGGGTGGGGAAATGGAGTCGTGAGGGTGTGGAGGGGTGGGGGTCAGTATAGGTATGGGTATAGGGGGTCACCCATGGTCTCTCAGGCGATGACGTTACATATTTAGCAGCGAGTGGGGCAGAAATTCTTAAAATTCAGTTGTGTAAATTTTTCTAAATTTGATGTTAGTTGGTTGAATTTGTTTGTGATAATTTCACGTGTTTTGGTATGAATTTTTCACAGTCTCTCTCTCTCTCTCTCTCTCTCTCTCTCTCTCTCTCTCTCTCTCTCTCTCTCTCCCTCTCTCCCTGCAGCGTGTGGGACATTTTGACCCGGTGACCCGTAGTCCTCTGACCCAGGATCAGCTGATCCCTAATCTGGCCATGAAGGAGGTGATCGATGCCTTCATCCAGGAGAACGGCTGGGTGGAGGACTACTGAGCACACACACACACACACACAGACAGACAGACAGACAGACAGACAGACAGACAGACGACAGACTGACGGATGGACGGACAGGACGGGAGGAGTGTGAGAGTAGAACAGAGTGGCCTCCTGTATGTATGTGTGCACTTTAAGCAGGAGGAACCTCACCATGAAACAGTCCTTTAAACTGCTGGAGTCTCTCAGGTCTCCTGCCTTTTCTCTCTCTCTCTCTCTCTCTCTCTCTCTCTCTCTCTCTCTTTCTTAATCTCTGTCTCTCTAGCCGTGAACTCGTCGTGTTTGTGCCACAGACCTGCATCCATGCTTTCAAAACAAGGGTTGTGGGGCTTCTCTCTCTCTTTTTCTCTCTCTCTCTCTCTCTCTCTCTCTCTCTCTCTCTCTCTCTCTCTTCTATTCTGATGTAGTGTTTTCTCAGTGTGAACTGGATTAAGGTAAATAGTACATACTTTATTTGGCCACCAGTAAACCATTAAACGATGCTCCCTCTCTCTCTCACATGCACACATACATGTCTCTCTTTCTCCCTCAGAGCTCACTGCAGAACAGAAATCTTTTTCTCTTACTAGAAATCTTGCCAGATTTGTCCGTGGATTCTCTGCAGTCAGAGTCCGAATGGTTGGATGATGCTATAAAAAACACCAAATTAAACAAAAAAAGATGACCTGCCAGATGTTTTAAGAGGAAAAATCCTGGGAAACCTCTTTTGTTGTGTCCATTTTCAGCGTGGAGGTGGTGAATGTGTGTTTGGCGTTTGTGTCTTACTGCTAGAGCTTTATTACCCAAGTTTAGTCTCGCGGAGCCAGACGGGATCACGTAAGAAGAACACACGTCTGGGGACAGCTTAAATTTTTGGTGCTGGATTGCAGTGAAATCTGAAAGGGTACAAGGATACGCCCCCTCTAAACCCCGCCCCCAGAGCTTTTTAAACATCTATAACACAATCAATAATGCGAGCAAAGCAAGGTAGCTAAGGTAGCTTTTACCTTAATGTTTATTTTTCAGTAGGGACGCACCGATATGGTACGGAGCCCCGCTGGTGACATCCTGTATAAATAAACATAATGTGTGGCCATGACGTAGTAAGGCATAGGAACAAGATAATTAAGGTGTGGCCATGACTCAGTAAAGCATGGGAACGAGATCCTAATGCGTGGCCACAACTTAGTAAGGCATGATGTCGAGATCCTAAGTCGTGGCCACGCATCTCATTCCCTTGCGTTAATAAGGCCACAGCTTATTTTTATTTATATGGGACGTCACCAGCAGGGCTCCGTAATATGGGAATTGTGGGCCGATGCTAATATGTGACTTTGTTCATGTATGTACTGTTGTATGCAAAAGTTTGTGCACCCCTTTTGAAATGATATTTTGTTGAATTTCTAAGTGAACACGTCCTCTACAGAGAACACACTTACGCACATTTTAACTCACACTTACTGTTTATTTAATGAATTCAACATTTTGGGTGGGGTGGGTGTCTCTTATTTAGGTCTGTTCCTGTACATGACATGTTTTGCATTTATATATCGCTGCTGTCGGAACAAAACCTCGTACATCCATGTTTTAACGTTTTTCAGTTTTTAACATAATTTGAAAATTACTCTTGTTCTTTACATTGCATGTAAATTTCGTGATGAATGGACCAAAACAAATGGCCCAAAATTGCTTGGAAAAAGTCTGGTTCCATTGACTCACATTAAAAGTAGAGTATGTTTTTTCCTTCTCCTTTAAAGTTACCATTTTGGAGATACGATGTTTTGTTCCGACAGCAGCGATACGACTGTTGCTGTTGATACTGATACATAAACATTTATAAGATGTAGAAATTGGGACTAAACTTACCTGGATTAGCAGGTGTTATCAAATATCACTCAGATCTGAACTTCTGTCAGATGCTTATACTTTGTTTTAAGCGTCGCAAATTTTTATCATGTAATGTGTTCTGCATACCCATCTACATGCTTATCGTAGAAACTGGCAGGTCTTTTCAGCCGTGCTAACTTACATTACATCCATGGGCGAACGACAGTCTGCTAACGACAGTCTTCTAACGACAGTCTTCTAACGACAGTTGACAAACCCACCACCAGTTCCTTCATTTGGTGTTGACTTGGTTTTGAAATTTCAACCTCAATTGGTTCCCAGTCTAAGAAGTCTACGTTCTCACCCGCTTTCAGCCCAATGGTCCTCATGCTTGTCCCCAGACGTTCTCATCACAAGATCATGTCCGGCCCGTCGAGACTGAGTGACATAATGTTCATTATACAGACATTGCATAAGTAGAGTTAATGAGATTGTTAGGAAGGGTTACGAATGTTGGCTGAAGTTGCCGTGGTGTGTCTGAGAGTTTTCGCTTGGAAACTGTTGCTGTGGGTGATTTTCTTTAAGCTGTACATTTTTATATATACATACTCGCACAACAGTTCTAGCCTCCAGAGATCCAGTACCTCGCTGTGTATCCAATCAAACTGTGGTAGATTTCGACCAATCAGGGGAAGGGGGAGGAGCCTAGGAATCAGCAACAACATGCAATCATTACTAATGCTATGTTACAGACCATACCTCTGCTTTGCTGTGTGTGTGTGTGTGTGAGAGAGAGAGAGAGAGAGAGAGAGAGAGAGAGAGGTGTGGTGTGTAAGTCAGTCCGGTTTTAGTCTGTAAAGTTTGGTTACCCTTTTCTGTTTGACTGTATTAGATGCTTCACTTTTAATTTGTCCCGAACACACAAACTCACATTATTTTTTTTTATATTATTTTATTTTAGTCTCGGTGTCTGGCTAGGTTAGCCGTTAGCTAGAAAGGTCTTTAAAGGTCTTTAAAGCTCTTTAGCTGTCGATGAAGCTGTTACTGGCTACAGCAAGTATTCAGTCGAGAAGAGGAACATTTGGACGCATGTTAAATAAATCTTATTTTTTCTAAAAACTCTGTTCAGTGGTGTGATTTCTATGTGCTGTTTCACTCTGGTATTCCGCGTAGCTCATAGGAACCTGGTTTCACAAAAAAATCGAAACTAATTTTTTAAATAAAAGATAATTTTGCTAAGTGCCAGGGCTCCCTAATGAAGCAGGATCTCTTGTTTTTTTCTGCTAACTTTAAGCTTAGTTGGATCCAGCCCTGCGATTCCTTTATTTGGGAAATCAGATGGTGATAGGATTAGGCCTAATCTCGGTTTGGACAGTTGGCCATTGAACTTTTCTGTGCCACTGTACTGGTAAAGGCACACTTCTGTCATTCACTTCTGGGTTTTAAAAATCAATTTTATGCATCAAATCGTCCAGCAATTCGGCAGTTCATTATCCCGTTAGAAAGCTGGAAACCATTTTATGACCTTTTCATTTGCAGCATGAGCAGCGAACGAGCAAACGCTAGCAGATCTGCCTGATAAGGACTGGGCTGTGGCTCAGCGGTGTCTGTAAAGCGAAGTAGCCTAGAGAACGTAGAGATATAAGCTAACCTAGATGAAAACTGATCAGTTTAAAGATCTATGTGTCAGACAGTAAACTCCATTCTAGCCACTGTTATTCGGTAACAGTAATTCATACAGTTAGTCTTACTGTGGGGAAAGTGTTGCCTTTCAAATGAGACCAAGATCATGACTGTAGCCCAAGGTATGTGGGAACAGCGCCCCCTTTTAGTTTGGGTACGCCATTACAGGCAAAAACTTGAGAACTTCATATCACAAATATCTTTATGAACCTTTTGATTTACTATAGAAATGGCTGGCAAGCAGAAAGAATAGGAAGGCTCGAGAAATCAGATGCTCTGAATACTGAAAACTGCACAGGACAGGCCGCCTGGGTGGGAGCGGCCAGTTCTTGCTTGCTCAACTGAGAGAGGTCTTGCAGGGAACCGGCAGGAACGTGTACAATATACATCATACCTGTGATGTCATACGTGTAACCGAGTGTCTGAGGCTGAGACTACAGGGTCTCTGATGGGGACAGCTGGTCTTAAAGGGTAGCTTCAGGTGGTGTTCTCTAACGTTCCTTTAGGACAGGGGTGTCAAACTCAGCCTCTAAAAGGGCCAAATTAAAAAATCTCAACAAATCTGTGGGCCAGCTGTGTTTTTATTTCATTTTTACTTTTATTTTATTTTCATTTTTACTTTTGCCACGATTACAACTGCCCATTGTTTGTTCACAATATGCCAAAAAATAGACGCTGAATACTTGAACGATTCAAAAATAAATTTAAATAAAAACAAGTTGTTTTGTATAAAACAATAGACTACATTAGCTGTGGATACTGTTAAACCTCTTTAAATGTCCCCAGTGCACAGGATTTTAAAACTGTCCATTTGCTTGAACTGGACACCTGGCATCTTTGTTTTTTTTTTTGTTTTTTTTTGGTGCAGTCCCATAGATCATTGTTGGGGAGGTGGTGGGAGCACATATTACTTTGCAGTGCATGCTGGGAACTGTAGTGCAGCTCATGGTGAAACTTGCTAATACACACACATTTTCTAAGCTGCTTATCCTTCTGGGTCGTGGGGGGAGCTGGAGCCTATCCCAGCAGTCATTGGGTGGAAGGCAAGAAACACCCTGGACAGGTCACCAGTCCATCACGGGGCAGAAATGGGCTAATATTAATAGGAAATTAAAATAATTTTGCAGGCCAAATAGTGTGTTTGACACATAGGCTTTGGGACATATAGAAGACTGTAGGGCAGAGTTCTAGATATTCAGACACTGAATTCCCCTTCTGGTCCAGTAATTTGTGATCAGGAGGGAAATTCCACAGATTTATCAAAACATCTACATAATTCAGTGTGTGAGATGTAAACAGAGAGATTCAGATTGGTTTGGTGTGAAATGGTTCAGATGTCTTTACAGTGGTGGTGATAGGAACCAGGGGTCGCCATGACTACAACACAAATATAGACATTTTATTTACTATCCAGAACCACCAGTGAACCTACACGAGTCTTCTGAGCTTATATGGAATGTTGATGATGAAAATAGTGGAAAATCTGAAATAATAAGTTTTCTTTGAGGACTATTTTTCCTCACAGCACCCTGCATGTATCCCTCCACCATGAATGGAGTTTTAAGTTCTCTAAACTATCATAAAACAGTGTCTCAGTCATCAGGCAGTGAATTCATAACCATTTCATGTAGTAACTTTCTGTGAGGGAGCTTTTAGAGGTGGACGTCTGGTTCCTATCACCACCACTGTGAACAGTGCTGAGTCTGGAACAGAGCATTTCACACCAAGCCACTCTGAACGACTCTGTTCATTATTAAAAAAAAACCTTTAAGTGAACTGTTGATGTAACTGATTGGCCACCTTCTATCATACCTCCCAGAACCTGGACCAACACAAGATCTGGAGTTAAAAAAAACTGTAGACAAGAAAAACAGGACAAGAAGTTTCCTACACAGTTTAAAAAAATAAGGATGGTTCTTCAGGGGTTCTTTAGTCAAGGCAATGGTTCTATATAGAACCAATTCATGCTTAAATGGTTCTTTGCATGGTGAAATGGTTCTTCAGATTGATGGCAAGTATGTTGAATGTGGTTCTATATAGAACTTTTGAAAATGGTTCTATATAGCACCAAAAAGGGTTCTTTTACGAGCTTGACATCATAACAGTAGTAGAACCTTTTTGGTGCTATATAGAACCATATACAACACATTCTCCATCAATCTGAAGAACCATTTCACCATGCAAAGAACCATTTAAGCAAGCAGATGGTTCTCTGAGTGTTCATAGTTCTATATAGAACCACTGTCATTGCACAAAAAAAGAATCTCTATAAATCCTTTTTGAAAAAGGCTCTGTAGCTCTGTATAGCACCAAGAAAGGTTCTGCAATTGTTTTTATTGTTACCATGCAGATAACCATTTAAGCATGAAATGGTTCAATGTAGAACCAATACCTTCACCGAGGAACCCTTGAAGAACCATCTTTTTTGATGTGTAGCATTTTGTGAGTGGTAGCTTGTTTTTTGTGACTATGTTTTAACCCCCCCCTCCGTGCTCTTATCATGATTCATGGTACTCTAGTCCTGGAATGGACTGCTTTCAGCATGTTTAGGGTAAAGAAAATGAATCACACAGATATAAGTGAACGTTATTGCTAAAATGATATAAGACTGATGGGAAAGCAGCCTTTATTACTCTTATTATATCAACAACTGGCCATTGAGAGGAGTTTCTAGAAGTCTTTCACATGCAGGCACACAAGAGGGCGCTGCAGTGTCTGTTTTGTGTCTGAATGTAGGACTTGGTTGCTGCCTGACAGACATACGAACAGCCAACAGGCTGGAATGTGTTATTTTTTTATAGCCTGCAGAGGGCAGCAGTGTGCACCTTCTAGGACATTGGTAGTACAAACAGCCAAGTACCTTGAAATTGTGTTTGTTTTTTGTATGAAAATCTGTTAAATGTGAACTGCAGTGTGGATGCAGGTTTTCATTCCAACACATGATCAGTTGTTCGAAGACAGACTTGTTGGGGTACCAAGCAAACTGAGCTGGGATTTAGGGTGGAGCTAGTAGTGGTGCTAACCATTAATCGCCAAATCGTCATGCAGTGTCAGAGGACCCCATTAAAAAAACTACCCAGCTATAATCTCTGTGACTCTCACATAAAACCAAATGCAGTTAAAGGTAAATCAGAGCTTGAGGCTCCATTGTTTCTGCTGTTGTTTGTGTTGATTGTTAATGCTAGATAAAGAAATTGTGACCACACAAGCTAGAAGCCCACCTACTTTATAGACACAGGTACTCGATGCTCAGTGTAAAAACACCTTAATCGATTAATCGATTCTGCTCCTGCCTTGGTGGAATCAAAACCTGCAGCTACACCTACAATGGCATTTTATTTAGGTTTAGGCCTAACCTCTTTACCTCTTTACCTCTAGGCCCTTAACCTTTTCCAAATCACTGTGCCGGTATCAGCACACTTCTGTCGTTAACGTCCAGGTTTTAAAAATCATTTTCATGCATCAAATCGTCCAGCAATACAGTGATGCAATATATCATTAGAAAGCTTGAAATCTCAAGATTCGAAACCTGCGAACTTTTTATGATCCGCTATTCACAGCAGTTAAGATTGTCTCTTTTGCACCATAAGCAGCGATCTGCCAGATGAGGGTTGGGCTGTGGCTCAGCTGTGTCTGTAAAGTGAAGTAGCCAAGAGGAAAAGGCTGGACCTCGAGAAATATTGATCGGTTAAGAGATCTATGAGTCAGAAAGAAATCCCTCCATTCATGGGTGTGGAAGCTAAGAGGTTAATATCACAAATATCTTTATGAACCTTTTGATGAATGACAGGCAGGCTGAGAGAACAGGGAGGTGTGTGTGAGAGATCACTTATTTTTTATTTTTACTTTTTTTTTTTTGTACTTTCCGTTTAGGTTTCCCAGGGTAATGCATGTCCACGTTCTAGTGATTATAATAACTAGCCTCCCAACAAAAGACAATCTGGCTGTTTTAAACAGACATTGTGCAGTTAAGTAAGGACTTACATCTTCTCTCTCTCTCTCTCTCTCTCTCTCTCCCTCTCTCTCTCTCTCTCTCTCTCTCTCTCTCGTTCACCTGTGGCCTGTCTGTATGTATATCAGTAATGCGTTCTTTTATAGTCCCTTAAGTTCACAGCATTAACAGGTAAGTGTGAGATACAAACTCCAGACTACTAGATAATTATTTTGGCTAAAATGTGGTTAAGTACCGGGACAGTCTAACTAAATTACACTGTTATGGCCAACAGGTTCTAGATAGTAAGGTGAAGGACATAGCAGGTGGAACAACAACTGATCACAGGCCTGCCAATCAAATGAGGAAAGACTGCTTATTAAACTGCCATTTTTAAGATAATGAAATCTGATTTATTTTCTGTGAGGGCTGCCGCTGGTTTATGATCAGTCAGATCATTATGTTCTCTGCTAAGCTCCACGTCATTTTCTCAGCCCTCCAATCG